ATATATGTATGTATGCATGCATGCTATTTTAATATAAAAAAATATTATACCATATATATGATATGAATTTCACGACCTAATCTCAACCTAATTACAAACTCTAGAATTCATTCCGATGCAATTGACTACATATTGGCTTATTTTTTATAATTAATTATGTTATTTTCTTAAAGATTACATGACTAATTCCTCTGTGTGTGTATATATATATATATTTGAGTTTTGTGGGGGACTGGGCAATTTTCTCCGGTCAACTTGTCTTATTCACGGCCCCCATGTGTCGTACCATGTTTAATACTTGTTTAGTTAATAAGTATGTATATTTTAACCTAAATTTATAATTTTTTATAAAAAAATTAACGTATTAATCATTTAATTAAATAATAATTAAAAAAAACAGAAATAACTTGAATAATATAATTACACCAATTCTATAATTATACAATTTTTATCACATATATTTGAATAATTCTCTGAAAATAATTAATGTAATCAATTTGGTTATATTAAAAGGATCAAGCATATTATTATGTAATTATTTATAATATCTATATACAATGTATATGAAAAATGAGATTCCATTATTTTTAATTTTCTAATATTTTATTTTATTTATCAAACAAATTACTCCAAATTATGATAATCGAAATGCACATGTTTTGTCTTTGGCAGTTTGATAATTAATAAATATTTTAATTAATTTTCATAAATTTTTTTAATGTATAAATAATAAAAAAAAAACTTTTGTAAACTTAACATAATCTCTCACCATTAATTATTCTCACATTATATATATATACACAAACACACACACACACACACACACACACACACACGTACATACATATGATTTTGCCAACATCACAAACATATCTATAGGGAAACAAAAGTGAAAGTAGAAAACGAAGAAAAGCGTAATCTATATATATATATATATATATATATATATATATATATAGACATAGTATAATCGGATGTATAATAAATCATATTCTTCTAAAAGCATGTATGTATAAATCAATTAATAAGCGCACCCAAATATTTTCTCTTCCAACTTTTTTTTTTAAATGAAGTTTTCTTCCCCAACTTGTAGCACGTACATGCATACACATGTACATATGTAAATAAAAATAATATGTAGTATTTTTCGATATATACTAGCATATATACATGCATAACATATATATAAACATTTGTTATTCTATCGTTTTTGCCTTTTCCTTTTTCTTTTTAAATAAGTATATGGCCTAAAATGGGCCGGCTAGAATAGGACCTCTTTGCGAAGTTAATTATTTTAAACTGTCGTATAAAATATTATATTTCATAAAAATAATTGTAAATATTAATAATAAAAAAATATAAAAATTATTTATTTTTTAATAAAATATTTTATTTTATTATTAAAATTTACATTCAAAATTTAAATATTAAAAACATAGACTCAATAACTTATTATAAAATATAAATTTTACAATTCACTTTTAAAATATTTTAATATTCAACATGCATAACGGGTTTGACAATTATTTTAAATCTTGACGCGTATGTGATTGTATTATTGTCTATATAAATTTTCGAGTGATAGTATTATACGAGGTGGAGTTAATAAAATAAGTTTTAAAAGTATATTTTGTGTTTTGATTTTCAACACCAATATCGACTTAAATATTTTCGTAATAGTATAGATATTTCGGAGTATTTATCTCTAAATGAATGAATAGGGAAGGTAATAAAATGTATGGATGAAGAGAATAGAAGCACTTATAATGAATAAACGAAGAAGAAGAAGAAGAAGAGGAATGATTGGGAATAAGCTTACGGGTATCGCAGCATTCCAAGAGTAATGCACATGCAAGGAAGCATCTTAGTTTACGCAACACACTCCTTCCCCTCTTATAACTTGTTGTGGAATGGCTTCTTCCAACAACTTATATATATATATATATAATATATATAAACATGCATACGTTCGAGAACGATGCTCTTTTCATGAGCATTAATCGAGCATTTTGGTGGCAAACACGTAGGGCCTTTTTAAAAAAATTAATATGTACGTAAATAATTTTGAAAAATATTAGTTATAAGTACATGTATTATATAAAATGAAATTTAGATATTATACACTCATTTTAAAATATAAAAATAAAATTAATATGATAATAAAAATAATAGTTATTTATTTAAATTTTAAATTATAAAATAGAAATTAAATTTTAATTAACTATAAATTATATACGTTATAATTTTTAAATATAAAAAATGATATAATAACAATTTGTTAAAAAAGTTTTAAATATAACAATAGAGTTTGATTTTTAATTAACTAAAATATAATATTTTAAATTTATAAAAATAAATATCTACTTCCCCAATAATTGTAACTCCATGTATTTCCCTAACACAAAATAGAAATCTATTTTCCTAATACTTGTACCTCGATACATATATACACCACGTCAAACACAATAGAAATCTACTTCCCTAATAATTGGACCTCCACATATATACATGTGTGGGTACATATATATATATATATATATGTGTGAAAGCAAAAAGTTTTACACCCACCATGTGCCATTGGGTCACGTCTAATTATGTGTCACTCGTTTCAAAAATTACTGAAAAATGTATATGATTGGAACATTTACATAGAGTTCATTAGTTGATTTGATGAAGCACTATA